ACCCTACATAGGTTATATGGTCCTGAGACGAAGTGTCTTCGAGGACCTGTTGATAACAGTTGTTATCTTTATAAAAATCTTTCTTTATAAAAAAAGTAACAAGTAAATAATAAAAATTTCACTACAAAACTGCAAATTAATTGGTTTATAAGAGATTTAAACACAATTCAGCTACAAATTTTGAAAGTGTGGCCAATGTAAATCGAATGTTTTAAGCTGTGGTAACTGTTTATATGGTAGTTTTTGAAAAAGTCATGGAACATGGAACTTTAATTAACGCGTTTTGAGGAGCACGGTCTGCTCACAGCGAATAAAAACCAATACATACATAAAATCCATGTAAATTCAGACATGCATATTACTTTATAGTTATAAAAAAATGTTATAGTAGTTTATAATTAAAATGTTATAGTTCAAAAGTGGTGAATTAATTTGTTTATGAGTGTTTTAATTAAAATTGAGCCGTAAACATTAACAGTTTGGTTAATGGAACTAATATAACAATTAAAAACAAACATTTTAAGCTTTGGTAAATAAACTATGTTCATTTTTACGGTTTACACATGCCCTCATTTGCGCGCCTTAGATCGCGCTATTAAAAGTTCCTTGGTTAAACCTTGGTTAAAAATTAACGTAGAAACATTTATTAAATCTTAAAATTTTTGTTTTGAATTGTATTTTTTTGTACTATAACTTCCATTAGATATATTTTTAAGTTTACAGTTTAATTTTGTTTAACTCTCTTATAAACCAATTAATTCGCAACTTTTTAGTAAAATTTATTGTTTATTTTTTATAACTTTTTTTTGATAATAAAGATAAAGCAAATTTGCAAAGTTTTTTCAAGCTGAAACAATTACCTTTAGAGTGAGACACTTTTAAAAGTTAATCGCACATATAAAAGCCAAGTTGTATTGTCTCATCTCATTCCTATTTTGCAATTGTTTTTTACGAAATTTGTTATAACTTCGGTTTTAATAATCGGATCAAAGTTTAGCTAACGTCATTGTGTTAATTTTTTTAAAAGGGATAATTTGGTTTAAACCAAAAATTAAAAAGCTTTAATAGTTTAGGAAATAGAATCATTTAAATAATTAAATGATTTATAATAAATTATATGACTGGTTGTCAGCCTGATACACTCGAAAAATCGAATCTATGACCATAGTCTTCTTCTTCTTTGGGTGCCGTGTCCGTATTCAGACGTTGACCGTCATCATGTTTACAATTTCCTGAAACCTTTCTCTGTCGGCTGCTGAGCTAAATAATTCTTCTACTGTGGAACCACACCATTGTCTAATATTACGCAGCCATGAAAGTTTCTTTCGACCAATCCATCTCTTTCCTTCCACGTTTCCTTGTATTATAAGGCGAAGTAGATCGTATTTAGGTCCTCTAATTATATGGCCGAAGTATTCTGTTTTTCTTCTCTTTATGGTGTTTATGAGCAGACGTTTTGAATTGATCATTTAAAGAACATCTTCATTAAAAGTGTGCGAAACCCACGATATCTTTAGGATTCGTCTATAGCAGCACAATTCGAATGCTTCTAACTTGTTTAGCATTGTGGTTTTTAACGTCCATGTCTCACAACCATACAATAGGATGGACCACACATAACATTTTAGGACCTTCTTACGAATTCACAACGAAAAATTCATAACTAAATATAATTTAAAGGGTTTTTACCCTAGTATTTTGGTGGCTCAGGTATTGTGACCTAGTAAGTATAACCATCTTTTGCTTTTCAACCATAGTCAAAATTTCACAATCTCGTTTGTTTTAACTAAATGGTTTATACTTATTTTTAAGCATTTAGGCATTTTTCGATTTTAAAAACCTGATGATGGACTGTGTGGTCCGAAAACGTTTGTTTTATTGATGTGGCCCTTTTAAGGGTTTTTTAAATAAATATACCCATTTACAAAAATTAACCTCTTTTTTTTTACAAAGATTAACCTCTTTTTCTTCTTACGAATATTTATCGACAGGTTTCTGTTGCATAAAACTGGTTTCCAGGTCATAAAAGCCTTACGTGATATTTCGATCCTGGTTATTATCTCTTCATCAGAGTCACAATTTACATTTAACCAGATGCCAAGGTATTTGAAATGATTTATCCTTTCGATCTCCTCTCTATTAAGAGAAATCAGATCTTGATCTATATTGATCTTTCCAACTGCCATCCACTTTGTCTTTGAAATGTTGATTTTAAGGCTGTTGATTTGTCTGATAACTTGCTTCACCTACTAGATTTAGTAATGTTTGGAGATCTTGTAAATTTTCTTCAAGAGTGGCTGTATCGTCAGCGTATCTAATATTGTTGATTACTTCTCCACCTAGTCTTACTCCCTCTTGTCTGTCATCCAAAGCCTCCCTAAAGATTTCTTCAGAGTGCAGATTAAAAAGAGTGTATGACAAAACACAACCCTACCGTACTCCACGTTTGATGGATAGTTTTTTAATCGAACTGTCTCCAATTTGGATAGAGGCTACTTGATTATAATATAAGTATTTCAGCAGTGTTATATCATAGTGGTCAAGTCCTGCTGCCCGTAGAAAATCAAAAAGTGTATCGTGTATTGTACTCTGTCGAACGCCTTCTCGAAGTCGATAAAACAAACATAAACATTCTTTCGGAATTCACAACTTTTTTGTAATAGAACGCGCATACAGAATAGGGTCTCTCTAATTCCTAGACCGTTTCTAAATCCAAATTGCTTATTACCCATCCTACTTTCGCATGGAAGGAATACTCGGTTTTGTATAATTCGTAAGAGTGTTTTTAGTGTGTGACTCATCAAACTGATTAGTCTAAAATCGCTGAATTTGGTGGGCCTGCTTTTCTTTGGTAATGTTATAAACAGTGACTCATGTTACATATGGTTGAACTCGTATTGAAAAGGAGATTCCAATAATGCCTGAATATACAGGGTGATGTATTGAAAAAAAAAACAAAGTTACTAATAATATAAGAAAAACGGCAACTCTGGCCACATTTTTCTTCTTAACGTGCCCTATCAAGTCCCCTTGACGTTGGCGATTAACATGGCGAAACTGTTAACTGGCAACATTCCAAATATCAAATATGGAATATTCGTATCCCAAAATAGGTGCACCTCAAATTTTCTACACATATGACTAGCAATTTACGAGATAATTAGCCGTTTCCAGACTTTTGGGGTGGTTCGTGTCAATAAAATATTGCAATGTAAAATTGGGCTTGGGTCTTTTGTATACACAATTTTTTTTATAATTATTTTAGTAAAAAATGTGGATATCTATATATCTAAAAAGTCAAAAGTATAACATTTGGATATTTTTATTAGAAGACCTTAAACAAGACTAGGTACTTAACATAATTTTCAAGTTGTACATTTTGTACAGGATTATATAAAGAGGATTTTTATAATAAAAATTAGAAGGAAAAAGGTAGATTTAATAAACAAATTTATTATGTACTATATTAAAAACCTTACATACAATACTTATACAATGGTTTATACAAGTTCTAAGAGATTCAATGATTTTTTTTATAAATACTTAACACGATACAGAATATTCACTAATATTTTATGTTTAAGAGTACTCACTCACCAAATTCAATGGTTAGCCAAAGTCTTGATAATCTCTAGAGATTAATGTAGGTAAAGTAACTTTGGTACAAAAAAAAAGGGACTAAGACAGTCCAAAAATTTAATAAATTTTATAGGAAATTTTAAGGTGTGATCAAATTTGCATTTTGTATGTATTCTTGCAAGACATATAAGATTTATAGATAACTATAGATCCCAAACATAATTAAAAGTATATAAAAAAAAGTATGGTGATATAGATTTCCACGTAGAAAACTTATTTTAGAGCAGAGAATACAATGACAGATCATCCCATTAGTATCTAAAATTACCAAGAAAATATAGTATTTAGCCCGTCTTTAACACTTATAACAATATATTTTAGCATGTCAATAGCATATACAGACAACAATTATTAAAAGTAATGAAAAGAATGGAAATACCAGACTAACTAGAATGACAATGAAGGACTCATCATTAATATAGAACTTGGTATAAGACAAGGAGAAGTCTCTCAACGGCGCGGCGCTCTTTAATAGTAGAAAATGTAGGAACGTAGAGCTAAAAAATTACCTATTTACAGTTTAACAGTCATACGATACTCGGACGCCTTAGCTATTGTAGCGCTTATGCTAGCAGGTTTTGCTAAAAGATTTAATCTTTAAACATTTTGTATAGTCCAGAGGACAAAATAAGATATTATCACATCGTTTTCGTTCATGGCCACCAAAGTAGGTGGCACCTCTGTACGCTAACCACCACAGTGGTTAAGTTTTAGGAGACATTCGTTGGACTTTCCGAGTTTGAGTTTGTATCACTCTGAGTGTCGGATAAAGCAGTGATGCTGAGATGAGTCATAACACTCTATTGATACCGATTCGAGCACGGAAAGATTAACAAATTTGTCTACCTAGGCCATATATTTGGCCATTACAAAATACAAAATGAAATAATTTGCTAATTGAAATACACCTAAATACGTTTTGAATCTATTTTCTTGTGGCATGTCAAGTTAAGTATTATCTTCATATGGGATTAACCACAAATTGATTGTAATGAAAATTCATTTTAACTAATGTTTAACATTTGGAGTTTCACTGCGGAAATCGTTGTCAAAATAAGATTATTTTTAGAAAAATACCGCGAAGTATATAATCTAACATATTTGTTATATAAATATATAACAAATATGTTAGCAAGGTATGTCCCATATAAACATAATATTTAACACCTCAATTTATCTTATCAAATTTGGTTATATATGGTGACTATCTTAATAATTTGATTGCTATTTTTATAGTTCTATATAATGATAGCTTTTTTGTATTTTCATTAATACAAGTGTGTAACATTAACACAAAATAACTAACTCGCTGAATCACTCTGCTGAGTGAATCACTCAAATCAAATAAATTAATATTTACACTACATAAGCTGATCGGTAATAACCCTGGTGTCTATTGGCAAACTAATCCTTTTACTGCCTCGTTTCTCATCAATACTTAAAACTTCAAAATTGTTTATACTTATACTAATTTCCGGCTTATTATCTTCTGCTGTTCCAGGTGGTGGCATTTCCACTTTAGGAATATTCAATCTTGATAAGATTCTTAAAAAATAAAAAAATGTATAAAGTAACATATTTAGTAAATATAATCGAGTTATAAAAAGTTAATTTAAATAAATATAACGAATATAACCAGAATTGTACTAAAATTATGGTATTTTCTGAAGTAAAATGTTTCCAAAATCATTTCAGGACATATTAAAAATGTAGAATGTAGAAAAAGGTAAATGTGCTTAAAATAAAGGCAGGTTACAAAGGAAGTCACTATAAAATTTATATACGAGAGTCTAATCTTCAAAACCTATAAGATGCAATTTCGCTCTTGAGTTTTGGCAATAAATGTAGAGCATTTAAAATATGCCTAAAAATGGCTAAATTTAAACTTTTATATTACAGACGTTTAAAACTGATACATAAAACTGTTAGTTACAGAATTACGTTTTTCAAAACTGCAGTTCACAAATTCTATTTATTGCCGTCTTCGTAGAGGTATTTCCCATAACGTGATTGTTTGTAATATGAAAGTTTAAATTTTACATTTTTTAGGCATATTTCAAATGCTTCAAATATTTGTTGCAAAAACACAAAATAAAAAATTCGTATGATAGGTTTAAAAGCTTAGTCCCTAGAAATCTAAATTCCACTACGACGGGTCAATGGAAGGGATAAATTTTATTTAATTTATAAGAAATTTAAAACGTGGCAAAAATCGCGCAACGTTTATTTATTGAACAGATTGATTTAAAGAAACTGACTTCATAAAATACAAAAATTACATACAACTTCTGCACTTTTCACCTTTAAAACGTATTTAGATTTTTATTAATAGGACGCTTATAAAAAAACAACGATTTTGATCGTCGAGTTGATGAAAATTTGATTTAAAATTGATTTGGTGCGCATAACCGACATTCAAACCTCCCATAGGGGAAAGCCGGGGAGTAAATGTGATAAAACTGCAGAGGTCGAATATTTGACTACTTAGCTATTATATATTATATAACAATAAAACACTAAAAAGTTTAGTGTAAAAACTTCCACAAAATATATTATAATATCTTATCACTACAGCTGTTTCGGTAGAGTGCCTTTCTTAAGTGATCTATTTTTGGTATGTGTTTACACTTTATAGTCTTTAACTGAATATGTTGAGTAGAAGAGAACTGTTTGTCTCAAGTTGGTGACTCAGAATTGTGTCTGATTTTTAATTTGTTAATCTCCATAGATTCTAAGAAAGTTGGCTTAAGGCCTTTATTTTGGATGTGAAGAATTTGAAATTCGTCATTAAAATAATGAGTACGATCTAAAAGGTGAAGTGCATATGTAGAATCTCTTTTTTATTGGATACCCGTTTATGTAGTGCTATACGTTTGTTAAAAGTTCTACCAGTTTGGCCGATGTAAGTTTTTGAGCAGTCGCCACACTCTAGTTTGTCTAAGATCAAGTTTTCAGTATTTTATTGTTATATAAAATGAATTTCTATCAAGTAACGGTCGAATCCATCGTTTATTATTATATTGTTTTATTCGATATAGTCTCCTTTAAGTTTAATACAATAATTTTATCGCTATTAAAACGTTCTAATGCGACATGTCATCCGAAAAATACAATGAAGGAAACTCCAAAAACGTTATTTGTTTCTTCAACAATCTCTTCGTTTAAGCTGATTTTTTTATTTGCCAATCATCTCTTCTGATTTGAGAACACATAATAATAAGTCGGGCAAATCAAGAGAATAAGCCAGATGAGAAATTAATTGGAAGTCCAACTGGTGAATTTTGGCCATTCTCATAACGCTATTATGAGCCGTTGCGTTGCCTTGGGGAAAGAACCGTTTTTTCTTCTGCATATGGGGCCGTTACTCACTGAGTACTAGTTTTAGTTTGTCCAATAATGCACAATAATAGTGTCTTTTATTAACGCAATCTTCTCTTTTTAGACAACTAATTAAAATTATGCCTTTGAAATTCTAGAATACAGTGGCCATAACTATTCCAACTCATTGAGCCACTCTTAGCCCAAGAGCGCTTTTGCCAGCGTCAACCCACTAGTGTGCATTTATTTTGTTTTCTGGTGTATATTATTGTATCCAAGTTTTGTCCTAGTTTAGCAATCATGCCAAAAGTCTTTGGTGAACTGCGCTTATAAGGTCCAAATACTACTGGAAAGTAGTCACGCGTTCATATTTTTTGTCAACGGTGAGCAAACTGGACATCAATTTTTTAGAATATGACTAGTACGCTCTTTACTAATTCGTATGGTCACTTCCAAGTCACGCATCTTTACTTTACGATCAGTCTAAGTAATTTCATGACTTTCTTTACATTTTCCGGTCTAACTGCACCGGGGGCAGTCCAGTACGTGGTTTATCCAATGTAGATATGCGGCCTCTACAAAACTGACGGAACTAAATTTTGACAGTCTATTCGGAAGGAGCTTAGTCCCATAATATTTATCTAGTTTTTCTTTTATTATCTTAGGTTGGTCTTTCTAGATTTAATCTTTTTTGTAGATCAAAGCTCCCTAATTTGCAAAGTAAATTACTTATCAGACCACAAGTTTATTGTGTTTTTGCACAAACAGATAAGATTGCACAATTTTTATGACCTAGTATTATTACCAAATGATTCTTTTCTTTACTATCATTAAACAATCATTAAAATTAAATGTATCTGTATGTACTCAATGAAGTTAAAAGATACAATTTTGTAGAAAAACAGACCTATTTTTATATAACTAAAATTGCGATGTGTACTAAAAACTCTAATTGAACAAAAACAAATGTTTAAACATCTACAAATGTCAAAAAAATATTTGATTTTTTAATATACTTACAATATTGAAATAGCAACAACACCATGTACAGCACAGCTCATAAAGTTATATATTCCACTGTTCGTGTTTAAAGTTGCATTATAAACTGCTGGATATGCAAGACTAGACAATACGTTGACCAAACTTTGAAGAATGTTCATAAGAGCAAATAGTTTTCCCATTTCATCAGGTCTTAGCATATAAGACATGACAGTCCTCCACATCAACATACTCACTCCATTAAAAATACTTACAGCGTTTGCTAAAAATGTTTAATATTAGGTTAATACAAATTTAAAAGACTTGCTATGTTGATTTGTTTTTATGTGAGCAATGAATAATTTAAAATATAACATATATAAATAGGTGCAGGGTTTTTATCGCGGTTCTCAAAGAATTAGTTTGTAAGTACTTTTTAAAATTATCTTTATTATAACTATTATGAAACACACATATATATCTAACATAGACAATATAAATTTAGAACAACCTATCTTAAATTTGAAATTCTTACAATAATTAAATTATATTAACAAAATTTGGTACCTTTCTATCACTGAATACCTAAATGAAACTGTTATCCAAACTAAATGGTATAATCACCACTCAATATTTTCTTTATCAGCCTCGGTTCTCCTTGTTTTTGTGAAATTGCTTTTTCCAAATATACCAGAATGTTTTAGTTATCAGCTTCTACCAATTTAAAATATTTTTCTTCTTAATAGCATTTATAAATGGGTAAAATATTCTTCTTTATTTATTGTTTTTTCTTTGCTTCTTACTTATAATCTTATTTTTCTTCTTAATAATCTCCAATCATCATATAGATATTATAATTTAATATACTTTCAAATATACTTTTAAATACTATAAAACACTGAATACTATCTGCTTGTACTATTTACTGATCAACTAACTTCTTAAAAAATTCATTAACTAACTGTCGAACTGTCTCCTGTTTAACTTCTTAATTAACTAACTACATATTGTCTTACTGTAATTGTTAACTATCTTGAACTGTCTAATCAATGCACTATCTTACTATCTAATTCTAACTCTCCTACTGTTATACTAACTGTCTAATGCATACTGTGTTAATCTCTACTGTCTAATGAATACTTGCTCCACATTACATCGTATTTATATCTTTTCATCGTTTCCGAATAAAACCATGTTCGAAACTCTTCATCTCATCAATATCCGAACATTCTCGAATATTATACTATGCAAATAGGGTTAACTGCCTTCTATTAACGTGTTCTAGAAAATTTTTTATCCTTCTATCGAGAATTTTATGGACATTTGGGCTTTTCAGATCAGAATATACACGTATATATAAACTAAACATCTTAAATTATTACATAATACTATTTTACATCCGTAATTATTATTCAAATGTCTCTTATTTAGTTCAAATTCAATCTTCTGTCATTATAATACAGTGTATATTTGGTTGCCTATGCACATGGCTCACTTAAATATATCATAATATTGTAATTATTAAAATAAAATTTGTACACTTATTATTTGCTAATTTTTTAAAAATACCCTCATATAACAATTTTTTTATAATATTCTCTATGTATATATTTTTTATAATATTACAAATTATTTCTTTATCCGCTAGTTAAGTTTATAAATTAAAAATCATAATATTACTATGCTATTTCTTCTATATCTATTGTTATCTTAATATATATATATATATATATATATATATATATATATATATATTATATATTTGTTGTGCGTTACATATATATATATATATATATATATATATATATATATATATATATATATATATATATAACGCACAACTCATATTTTGTTTAATAATCTTTATTTATTTATGATTTACTGTACGACAAGTTGCCTATAGACCTAGTTTAACAGTGACAGTTGTTATGTAAGCTAATACTAGTCCTGTCTTAACAATAATTAGTATTACACTTCCTATTAGACTAAAAGTTAGTTAAACTGTTCATAAAAAGTGCCGATTAAACCAGTGATTGCGAGATACAAGCTGTTTATTGTGATATTTTTTATAAAAATTAAATAAAAAATGAACTTCCAAAGAAATTTGTCAATGGAGGAGTCAGTGATGCAGGTTTGTTAGGAAGACATTATTCCAGTATCAGTCGCAAGGTGAGGCGACATAATGAAACAGGGTCGTACCATCGAAGATCAGGGCAAGGGCAAAAACGTTGCACTAATCAAATTGATCATTTTTTGAGACAACGTGCTCTCAGAGATAGAAGAGTCACCAGCAATTTCTTTAAAAATGAACTAGCAGATGTTCGAAATGTCGCGATATCGTCTCGAACAGTTAGAAGACTTTTACATGAAGCAGAATTGAACAACAGGAAACCGACCAAAAATCCCTGGCTTACCAGAGAACACAGGGTTCAGAGATTGAATTTTGCAAGATTTCTATTGTATTAATTGAAAATAAGAAGTTCTTATATATTAGATGCACTAGCACTGAATTGAATAACGTAAACTATTTAATAAAAATAAATTTGACTTGAAATATGCTTGTGTTTGAGAAGCGTGAGATGAAGTATGTATATCTTGCGTGCTTTCAGTTGGAAAGCGACAGAGGAAGTTTTTATTTGCTTCTAGTTAAAAAGCCAGGAACAAAGTCTTACTAACGTGTTTCTATTTGAGAAGCCAAAAGACGATGTTTCGTTTTGGGGGAGTTAGGTTCTAGTGTAATAAACTTACAGGCGCAAAGAGGCAAATAAGGCAGTTCAGCACCCAGCAAGCTCATTCAGAAGTATATGTAGACTATTTTATTCGTCAAATAATATTTAATATTTTTTTAACAAAACATTTCTGACCAAGTTAACCAAAACTGATAATAAATATTTCAGAACAGAATAGTCACTTAGTATACATTAATCGATGCTTTGTCCTCCTTAAGTATATTAGATGATGTTTGATATATAAAGGGCATAGGGGAAAACCCCGTCAGTCAAAAAAAGTAATTTTCGAAAAAACAACCATTTTATTGTTATTTCAACTCTGGTGGCTAAAAAAATAATAAACAATAGATATATAGGAAACGTTTTAATTAATTTACTTTTACCTTTTACACTTTTAACCTAACAAACTATTAAAAAATCGGTCTGAAGTAAATTATTTCCATCATCAATTATACGGTCGTCAGCGTATTCATAAAGTAATTACTGTAGTGGCTGCGCCTTGATTTGTCATTGATTTTTTGCAAGGAGGTTTTTTTTTCAAGGACTGAGGATGCATAAAGTCCAAAAAAAGTAGGTTTATAGAACACAAGTCGTCCTTCAGTTGCCGAAATCTTTAACGAATCGATTTAGTGAGAAATGGACATTTTTGAAAATAAAGTGATGATAGGTAAGCAGTCCAATTTTGAAAAACTACATCTACTTCGCAATTAATCATTGTAAATTTAGAGGGTTTTACCCGAGTATTCCTTTGAACCTATCTTCAGTCTTCTGGAACCTCTGTATAGGATTGTTGTTTAACAATGCTTATATTCCGATCGCATTCCATGTAAGAGTGCCTCTTATCGGAAATATCATCTTAACTGTTTTATAACGTTTATCTTTCGTTACCAGATGATGTGACAACCTGATATATGTATAATTTCTATTTTGACCAGCACGTAAGTCGCAAAATATACAGAGTTCTTGCACTTCAAGAGGGAAAAAACAAAAATGCCGCGAAACAAGGAGCATAATATCATCTGCGTCTTTTTTGAGGTTGGGCAACAATTCTTGGCGCCCGTAAGTGAGGCAATTATTCTCGATGTCATAGAAACATTTTAAAGGGGTAGTTAATAGAGAATTTTTTAAACTGAAATAATTCGTAGGATAAAAATCCTACAGGCGCAGGCGTCCCTTATTTAGGATTTTCCAAATTGGTTGCTGTCACTTAGAATAAGTGGGTTTTAAGAAAAAAAATTAAAAGAACAATTATTATGAATTATGAAATTAAAATAAAGAATGAAAATATGAATTAAAGTTATTAAACTTAACAAATTTGAGGCAAATTCTGTCAGAATACATAATTTAATTGAGAACACTCATTCTGAGTCTGTACTTGAACGAGGTAATATCGTATCAGTGTTTTGTTCCAAGTTTTAGTGCTTTCTGTGAAACCTAACAACTACTTTTAAATACTAGTAGGACCAGACTTTACCGTATTTATTGATAAGCTTAATTGCATGTTTATTTTTGGAGCGATTAGTTTGCTCTCATAGAGTAGCAAATTAATAATTTCTTCAAAACTGAGACAGTTTCTAGTGGCGTAGGCCTACCTAATATGGATTTTTAAAAGAAAATACATAAAACCTAACTAAATTTAACAAATAATTAAATTTTCGTCTACCTTTGACTATAAGGGTACCGATAACAAATACAGTTGTCACATCAGATCCTCACAGTTCACAACTTTTTAAGATATCACAAAATATTTAGCATAACTCTACTTCAACTTCCTCATATGCAACTGCAACCAAATCAACTCCTAGATGAACTTTTCCAAAGAGGGATCAAGCCATAGTATTGCATGCCATTTAAAATCCAAAATTGTTCGATTACTTCAAGGCAGTAGGTGACGCTATTGGTCCCAAACAAATCCTATTCGCATCCAGAATATCCAATAATAGAATTTGTATATATTTAACTAACTCAGAACTCGTCGACAAACTTGTAAAATCTCATCCGATTTTGACAATAGGAAACTCTTTGACGAATGTTGGCAGGTTAGTCTCCACCACAAAAAGAATAATAATATCCAATATATGTCCATGTAAACCACACGATCTTAAAGAAAATGCTATAAAATAACTTGGGCTCCAACTGGCCTCCCCCGTCCCTTTTTTAAGAGCAGGTATCCCCGGCAATGAATATTCACACAACATGAGCTTTAGAAGGCAAGTGTATGTTTTTACCTCTGATGGCAATTTTAATCTGCAAACTTTATTAGTTATTCAATTCAAAGGTAATGAAAACAAAATATTTTTGTCCACAGACAACATGGAATGCTCCATATGCAAGAAGTCAGAACATATTGCCTCAAATTGTCCCAATTCTCCACCCAATTATATATCATCCCAGCCTCAGCCAATAACATCAACCCCGATAACAGATCTCTCACTACCACAGTAGTCTATACAACCCGCAACATTACCACATATGTCTGCTTCAGAACAAAATAATTCCATAATGACTAAAACGCCCACATATAAACGTGGCCACTCCAAAATCGAGAGTACAAGTGAGCAAACTGATATTCCCGATAACATCTCGGTCGCAAATCCGTCCGAGGACAACTTCATGCCTTCCCCTAATAGAGACATTAAAAACCCAAAAAAGAAACCCAGAACAAGTTTACTGTCAGAACGTGACCTTCTCGATTTAACAAAAGACGCTATCAAAGAAGCCTTTAAGCAAACCTCTGAATCACTTGTTATTCCTCCAGAAAACTTGATAGCCTTTGTCGAAAACACTTTCCGCTGTAGTGACCCCTACGCTAAAGCTCTTAAGTTTACAGAAAATGTTTCAGGACTAATTTCTAACATTCAAGCATTATACCCAACTTATCAGAAGAGATCTATTAAAAACAGGCTAACTCGTCTTACCAAAAAACTAATAAAGGCCTTGCACTGATCTAGAAGAACCTGAAAGTACGCCCAGTCCAAATTTTTCCGCCGATTTTAGATTTTCATCTAGAAAATCTAAAGTCATAAACTTCTTTAGAAGACATCACACTGACCCTCCTTAACTTCACCTAAATGAATCTCCTCTTCAAGGGGTTAATAAATACAAATTATTAGGAGTAATATTCGGCAAAAACTTACATGGAGAGATCAGATACCGAATACAAAAACAAACTGCCTAAATAAAATCAATATCTTAAAAACTCTAGCTCACCATCAATTGGGGGCAGACGATAAACTCCTCTTAAGAAATTACAACCTTGTTCCGCTCTAGGTTGGATTACTTAAGCATTCTCTACATTCTCTACTTCCAATACTCACCTTAAATATCTGAATACAATTCACAACACTTCTTTACGCATTTGCCTAGGCGCCTTTAAATCTAGTCCTTCTGAAAGTCTTTATATCGAATCTTCAGAACCTCCACTTTTTATAAAACGGCAACGTCTACTTCTGTCTTATTTCTCTAGAATTTCTGCTAATCCAAAAAACCCAATAATTAAACTAACTAATACCCCCGTCCTTTTCCAGATCATAGTCACCCTCGAGCACATTCTCTCTCACAAATTTTAAAAACTTTACTAGAAGACATAGACCTAAAACTCACAACTCCGTGTATTACGTCCAGAATTCCCCCGTGGACCAAAAAACTACCTACTGTCCTTACCAGATTGAACAGATACAAAAAAAAAAGAAACGCCCAGATTTCTCTTGGTACAAGCATCTGAGTAACTTATACAGACACAGCGTTATGACAAAATTCTCTGCACAGATACCTCGAAAGAAGAACAGGCCATCGGTTGGGCCGTCAGTACCTCGAACACAACAGCAGTGTGACATTGGCTTTCTCCCAGATGCAGTATATACACAGCCGAACTGTATGGAATACTCAAGGCATTAGACTCGCCCATTGCTAATGAGAAATCATTAGCAATATGCACCGACTCTCTCTTCGCCATTGACTTAATCAGAAATATATACTTCATACATCCCAGTGTACAGTGCATCCACAGTATCTGCCAAAAACTATCAAAAAATGGTGTTTCAGTAACTATCATCTGGGCACCATCCCATGTTGGTATCAGTGGAAATGAGAACGCTGATCATGCAGCAAAACTGGCCTGCTCCTTAAAAAATATGGAAAACATACAACTTTACCAAGACCTAAAGGCCACTATCAAGAACAACGTACTAAGAACTTGGCAAACACACTGGAAAGTGCAAAATACAAAACTACGCACAATTCAACCAACTGTGCCTCCATCACCATGTCTCAAATGAGCAGAAAAAACAATATTATTATCAAAAGGCTTAGAATACGTCACACTCGTCTAAATCACGGATATCTGATGTCTTCTGAAAATCACCGTCACTGTGAACATTGCAATGAGTCCTTAACAGTCCAGCACATATTACTAGAATGTGTCCACTACAAACCTCAAAGAGACTTCTACAACTTTCAAAATAATTTAAGTGATCTACTCGGTTCTACAAGCATGTACAGTGCCATAATTCGTTTCCTAAAAAACTGTCAACTTTACTACTTATTGTAATTATATTAGATGTTAATGTATCCGGACTTGTATATAAACAGATTGTATGTGTATGTAAACATAAACATATTGTAATCAATTTTGTAGCAGTGTCAATGGCCCATAGTTGCCCAGACACTTTCATTTAGAATTAAAAAAAATTAAAAATTGAGAACACTCGTCTAAAATTTAAACAATAATTGATTTGAAAATTAAGGTGAACATTTGAAAAGTTAAGGTGCAGGTAATTATCTTAAAAAACTTACCAACATATATATAAATATCGTTTGTAGCTATCCCACGTAGCACACTACTAGCCATGCCCATAACAACAGCAAAGAAAGCTAATGGTAACTCTTTAATTTTAAAAGTTTTGTATAAAAGAAAAGTTCCCAACATTGTTCCAATCATCATTCCAACACTTGTAATACTTCCTACTAAATTGATTTGGCTCAGGGTCCAACTTAATTTTGCTCTTAAATATAAAGAACTCACTTGCATTTCACCCATGGTAAAACCGGATATAAAGCTTACTGCTATAAATGCAAATAAAAACGCATTGATATTTTTTTCTCTTTTCCTAAACGACTCTTGTACTATTTGTTTAAAGTTAATGTTGTCCCAAATATCTTTAAAACTGGGTATCTAAAAAATTGTTTTATTATTTATGTTAATTTGTGACTATTAAATTCAATTTCAATTTCACCTGGCACTTAATTGAATATTTGTTACTGAAGTTTATAAGTTGTTGACTTCTTACAGAGCAACTTACACAGTATTTTATAAAATCTAAACAATTATGTCATACTCTTTTTTATGATTATGCACAAAAATATTATTAAAAAATATGTGTGGTGAAAAATTTGTTCTTTATTGTACAAATGTAATACAGTGTGTAAGCGATCATAACGAATATAAAAATTGAAACTGGCTTCATTCTCCAAGATTTTGTTACGTTTTAAATAATTGCAGACTTATCTACCAATCGTTTTTCCTAGGTGATCATCACGCGACTGCGGCTTGGTTATAGTCGCCTTACGCATGGACATCTAATGACACGAGATTCCCAACCGGAGAGTTAGGCTTGCAATACCAAGCTCACAATAAAACGTCTCCCAGTGAAGTGCCCGTTATACACTGCGGAAGGATGTGAATTCGCAATCCCGAAGAATTATTCTTTTCAAGTGTGGTACTAAAGTGATTATTCAATAATTAAAAGCAATAAACTGTTTATACAAAATTTAATTGCTGTAATATTTTATTGACTATTCAATGGTTTTCCCATTGACTGTAAATGTGATTAAACCAGTGATATTATACTTCAGTTTGAACTCTTTATTTTCAACTAAGTATTTAAATTTTATATTTCAAGTGCTTCTTTTCTGCAGTATTGGTAGTGCTTGATATACCTTTTTGGTGCACTCAACCAACCACTATGTAACAGACTGTTTGGTCTAGTTCTTACATTCACACGCTATGAATATTTCATTTGCCCCCTAATTAACACCTAAATTATCACTGACACGTTTGTGCGATCTGTATTGTAGAATCTGCATAAAGTAATTAATATAATTTCATATTTTATCAGACTGTATTAGTAGTCAGTATGACTTTTTCAGTGGTCAGTGTTCAGTTTACCATACAATTTTGAAATGTGTAAATCACCATGATTGTGACTCCTCATCCAAGTTGTCATATTTCAGATGTCACTTTAAAATTTCCGTTAAGAAAAGGAATCATTTTCTCTCCTGCTGTCACCCACAATGTAGCTTCTAACTAATTTTAAATTGATTGTCCTTCATCTAGTGTAAATATATTATTTAATGTATATAACATTCATCGACGTGTTGTGTATAAGTTGTTATAGTCTACGTTTTGACGAAGTAAGTCTAAAACGTTATATAAACTTTTTATCCACCATCAACTTCGAGTTTTTACGAAGTTAATTAATCTTCCTCACTTGAAAAAGTTTTTTTTTTGGCTTATTTTAGTTGCTCTTGATAATGCTCTGAGAGCGAAAGTACTTGGGCAAGATTTAATAAAAAACTCTACTCCATATCTAACTTTCATTTAAGTAAAGTTCATATATTCGAGTATTAAACCATATATTACTTTATTCCATGAAAGCTAATATTTTTTTGAAATAGCTAGATAAAGTGACAAATTTTGGTATATAGGGAACAGTATGTTCTCGGACGCGACTAGTTCACGTTCGAGACGCATCGCCCCGACCCGTATTTTTCCCGTTGGCCCCTCCCTGACCTGGAAATCCCTAATCGCTACTTCAGAAAGTATAAAAATAGGCGATTTTCAGGTCAAATAGGTCAGTCCTTCACGGGCTCTCCGATAACTTAGTGCTCTCGGGGCTCTGCTTTCTTTTAGCCTACCCTATACGCTGTGGCTGAAATTTTATTCAACTTGAAACTTGGTGTTTTATTTCGACTATTTAGTCGTGTAAGAAATATCTTTCCTTTGTCAAGGCAAGCCACCGAAGACACCTGATGGTTTATTTCGTCGAATATTTTCGTCATGTAAGAAATAACCCGTCTTTTTCAAGACGGGTCCATCAGAAGACAACTTTCACAAGTCCATAACCTGTAAATGGACTTAAGTAGAGGAGCTATCGTTGATGTTTTCGAAGCCCTCTACAGAGCACCCGGAGGCATTAGTGGGCGTTTAGACCCTTTCCATTTACCCCGAGGTGACAAGTAACACTAGGAGTGGATTCAATATAATTGCTAACAGAAATAATGTAATAGAAGTTGTAAGAAAAAATGAAAAAATAATGTCAGTGAAACTTGTACTTGATAAAAAAGTTTAAATTTTGTATGTGTGAATTATGTGTGAAATGTATTAGCTCTGGTGATTGAGAACAAAAGAGAAACTTTCTATGATTAATTAAAAGACATTTGCAGAGATATTTTACAAGAGGATCAAATCATACTAGAGTTTACTGCACATATGTATCGATGAAAAAAAAAAAAGAATATGTAGCAATACATTAAGGACTACAAGCCGTATTATGTTGAAGCGAGTTTTTAAATAAACAAAAATTTCAGACAAAAAATATATTCTTATTAGCAATTACACAGGTTCATGGTTTAAAATAAGTTAAAAAATTGGTTAAAAACATTATAATGGCAACAAAAGTAAATTTTTCTAGAAATATTGTAAAAGCCATGATAATATTAACCGCTTAATGATGGCAAATACCAAACAGGCATATTAGTAAACTCTTAGATCCGGAAATGGATTTTTTATGAATGTTTTTCATGATTTTCCGACTGGATCTTAAGATAAGAAATACAAATTTTCCTTTCTAGTTTTCCTTGTTCTTGCTTGATTGGTCATGACGGAATCCGTTCAATTCCGACGCTTTTAATTGATTATTTAAGCCTTGTTTTGTTTTACAGTGATGGCTAACTTGCCACCCTGACCCCTCAACCCCGTTTTTTTATCCGAGTTTGGTACCCGCTATTAAAATGAACACGGCGGAGTGGAGATAGTTGCTGCAATTGTTTTCCATAAATTTTCGCACAGTTAACTTAAATTAATAATGTAAAATGCTCTGATAGAGTTTACAAGACACCGGTAAATTGAAAGGTAAACTTAATATTTTTCTGTCACTTATGACGAAGTGACTTTTTGTATAAAAGTCATATTAAATATATTTACCTGTTTAAGCTTCTTTTCTGCCTTTACTGATTCTGGTATAAAAAATATTGTATAAAGGAGACTACAAATTTGTAAACCTACTGCAATCATGAAGATTGCTTGATAACTGGTAGCGTATAATATGCGAGCTGATACCAGATTCCCAACAAAAGAGGAAGCTCCCATGATCAGTTCAAATGCCGACAGTCTAAAAAAAATAGTATACTCATTTTAATTATTATTAAATACATTCGTAAAAAAGTTTGTCTTATCGATTTAATTCCGGATGATCTCTGATTGTTGTCGCTAAGTCTTATGGAAGGGGAAACAATAGTGTTAATAACTGAGTTGAGTTGTGTGTGGTATTAATGTGACTTGGCATGTAGATAACGGATTGTATGGGTGGGTTTCCGATACACGGAATTAGAAAAGCTGTGAGGTGGGCGTTTCCGAATTTTCTGTGTAAATACAAGAACCGTCAAACGGTACTGAGGTCTCAATCTGCCTACTCCTTAGTGTCGAGTGACGACCGGTCTTACATGACATGACACTAGAGTTTTAACCTTGTTTAGGCCTGAGTCTTTTCAAGGAATTGGTTACTCCGAGGTTAAGAAGTAGTGGACTACTAAGGAGCAGGGGGAAGCATAAGGTGGCTTGTGTGTATGATCGACATAGGAGCGCACAAGAGGAAGTGGGAATTGCCTAATATGCTAGTTCAGGTACTTCAGGGATTACCAGCCATACAGTAGGAGCATCTTTATCAGCGTTATTGGCGCGCAGTCTTTATCTGCGATATTGTATGAGGAATGATTCTATAATTTCAAAATACTCATCAGGAAGTTCATGTCCAGTGTTGTGGAGAAGTTATGCTGGAGGAACCGGAACTTTTCTATTGGAAAACCTGGTGAGTATTTGCCCTCTGTAATTGCAAGGAGTCTTAACTGTTTGTTTAGCTCTGTTATTCGATTTAGCTATGGTTCTTAGGACATACTTCCTGCTAAGGGATAGGATTCTGTCCTTGCTTGTTGCGATGTTGCCCAATATGTATATGTGGGCTGATGGATACGACCAGTCTTTCCTCATGCAATATCTGAGTATTCTACGTTCAGTAGCCGTGATGACATTACGTTGATGGCTCTTGAGAGAGATATGGACGCATGCCTTGTACTCTATGATCGGTCTGACAAATGTTTTGTAGGTGTGCAACAAAGTTTGGAAGATGTCCCGGACAGCACTTTCAGGAGATTGAACCTCTGTCTCATTCTATCTAAGGTTTCCTGAAGGTCGGCCTTCCAGTTGAGAGTCCTTGTAAAACGAACTCCCAAGTAGAGAAACAAATTTCTGAGAATAAGGACCTCTCCTAAAAGTGATATCCGGCCATGGACGTCACGACAGTTAGAAGATTTGAAAAGAATTGCTTGCGTTTTGGAGGGATTTATGGTCACTCTCTATTTGTTGCACCACCTTACAACTCATTCAAGGTAGGCTTGCAACCTATTGAATACAGACCATCGTTCACACTCTCTGTGAGATCCTGAAGTGAGGATGGCCGTATAATTAGCAAAAAGTAGGAGGGACTCTAATCCTTGCTGTGGGCGGGAAATGTCACTGTTGTATACTGTGTATAATACTGGAGCAAGTATTGAGCCCTGGGGCACTACAGCTTGTGGAGTGAAGGGGGTGGATACATGGTCAGATACTTTAATCCTTATCGTCTGGTGAGAGAGATAGGAATTGATTAATTTAACGAAAGGTGTGGGCAGTCCAGCGAGGTGAAGTTTTTCAATCAGGCCTGTATGCCAGACCTGATCAAATGCCTTCTGGACGTCAAGGAATATGCCTATGACATGTTGCCTTTCGTTAATTGATTGTGAAATAAAGGTTGTTGCTTCAACCAATGCATTTTGTGTGGAGTGACCAGCCTTGAATCCGAATTGGTAATTTGGAATTAAGACGTGAGCGTCTAGGAATTCTACGAGTCTCTCCTTAAGGATCCTCTCATAGACTTTACGTAGGGTGCTTAGTAAAGAAATGGGCATATACGATTCAGTGTTGATGAGGATTTTTCCTTATTTTGGGATCATGACTGTGCTGTCTACCTTCCAAGAAATACGAAAGTAGCCAGCATTAGAGATGCATTGATTATATTGATAAGCAACGGGATAATATTCTGTGGAAGATTTTTAAGGCATATCTCTTTCGACCGACTTCCGCACAGTTGACTGTACCTATTAGATAGTCGAATGTGACAACTTACTGGAGCGGGATGAAGGTCATTTCGACCTAATTATTTCTTACTGTGGGCACTATGCAGTGCCCAAACATCTTGACCGACAGGTCAGAGGAGTATTTAGCGATGGTCTCCCTCCTATCAGGCAGAATGTTTATCAGCAGAGTGGTTATGAATTGGATTCACAAGCTGACGTCTGTCGTGAGTGTTACAGGAGGAATCCTCCGCTCAGCGATAAGAAGTTTTGCCTCTTGATGTGAAGAAGGTGTCTCGTGTCTTGTGGGGCATCGTGGCGACCAAGCTGGATGAGTGCCTTTGCAATTTGGGCGCTTAGGATTTTTAATTTGGGGACAGTATGCGCTTTTATGCTTGCCACAACCGCAATAGGGAACTTGCATAAAATTTTAAATTCGAAAAAAATGCCTTAAATCATAACAAAACATAATTTACAATATATATCAAACAAAAAAAATTGTTTTTGTCTTTAGTTTGGCCCCAAAAAACGATTAAAATCGACAGAAAATTCAAATTATAGCAGCCAGTCCAAAACGCGTCCTCATTGGTCGTGACGTCATATAGTCAAAATGTTCAAAAATTGGCACTATTAATTCATTACGTTTGACATTCGTTTACTTGTTATAGTAATTTTATGATGTATTTCAGTTTTATAAATCTTTTGATAGTTGCTGTGAACTATATATTTAATAATATTTGAGTGTTTTTGTTCAGATATATTTTTTAAAATGACCGAAGAGGGTTTTTCCAAAGGCCAGTCTGATAACTTGCCCATTGTAAATATGTTTATGGTAGCCACATATTTTCAAAACGGTGTAAATTTGTTCCTGGGAGAAGTTCGGTGAGTTAAAGCAGATAAGTAAGTACCTACATATACTCCTATTACATTAATTTTATTGTGATTATTATTCTCATAATAAGTATTTAATGATAAAACTTAGCACTTTATATTAAGTAGTGTCAATATTATATGCTTATGCTATTGTACAGAAATTTAATCAAATTAACTTATTCATCGTTTGCATTTAGATCTGGCAGAGAATAATATGGAGATGCAGCTGTAGGATGGGTTCAAGTAAAAAGAAATAACATAATCTGTACTGTACTGGTAATCTAATAAATATTTTGTTGGGGATTTTAATGGTTGTACTTTTACACAATGGTACTAAACAACACTTGTAGTATTTACTTTTACTTTCCATAGTAAAAACACACACAATTTAACACTCTCTATTCAAAAACTGTATCAAACACCAATATACACAAAATAGTTTATTCTTTTATACAAGACAGGAGACCTGATATACAGACAATACCACCAAGTGACGTCACAAGGGTTCGCGCGCTTTTTCGATCGTTTGAAATGATTTTTATACACGGAAGATTTTAAATTTGTATTGCTAAGTCATTATGAGCTTTTGAGGCGTGAAATTTTGGAAATCCTATTTTTAAATGAAACTGAACGTTATTATATAATAAAAAAATGTGCAAGTTCCCTATTAGGGAAAGTCGTCTGCCTTTTTGGGCACTTGAAAATCTCGTGCCCGCTTTGTCTGCATCTGCTGCTGTATTTTGTGGATGATGTTGGGATTCTGAGGAGCCTCACATAGCCTGACTAAGCCATCTATACAGATGCCGTTCATCAGAGCATCCGTGTATTACTACTCAGAATCGAGTAACATACGAACGAGCCTGGTTGGTTTGTTAAATCGTTTTAAAATTATTCGATGAAGTGATTTAAACGGAAAGTCCATCTTACTCAGGCTGACACCTAGTTCCTCGGAAGAAATGGTAGGGTCTACGTCGGCGATAACGAGGTGGAAGGGCGACTGTTCGTCTTGAATTGACTTGCAGGATCTTTGGTGTAAGTTTTTAGGCTCAATCAATATTGCAGGATTGCTAGTCCGGTTTTGAAGAGTCTTTGACATATCTCTCACGTTCAATGTCTTGGATGTTTCGAGATATACCAAACAGTCTTTTGGTACAAATTTAAGATTAATCATAACACCCTTGAATAATTCCTGGATGTTGACAAGCTGGAAGAGCTTGCGCTGTTTCACCTGGTTCTCCGAACTGATGGTTGTTTGTGAGGCGATTGATGCCTCGATAGCTTTTTTTGGTGGAGGATGGGCACGTGATGTAAAGAGTATCTCATAATTGGCAGCAACTGTTACCCTTTTCTTGGGTTAAGCGGCAGTAGTGGCGGCTGGAGTGGTAGTTAAAGTGGTTGGCAGTTTAGTGGAGGTTTTGCTAGATTTGGTAGCTAGCAAAACGATTGCCATTCTCGATTTTAAGGAGCGAATGAGAGCGAAGGTTTTTGTCTTTTCGAAATCTATTTTGTGGCCTGTCTGAATATGATGTTGGGCTAGGGCTGAAGTAGTATCGAAATGTTTAACAGATAGAGAATATTCAAAAATACGGTTATGAATTCGTCGGTTTGTCTATCCTGTGTATGAACGTGGGCAACTGATTGGCAACAACGTGGGCAGAGAGAGAGAGAGAGAAATAGACTGAAATATACTATATATAAAAATTGCATTTATCTTTCAATTCGAACGCGAACCATTCTGCACGTATTTCGAGTTACGTTACTCGAATCAGAAATACTTGTGATAGTTTAAACTGAAATTAAATGCAATCTACTTTACCTGTTATAGTAACATAACAGGCCTACACGCTTGTAGTGACCTCTATACGTAGCAACAAGAAATCAGAAGACTTCTCTTTGATATCGAATTAGGTGGACCGTAAGTGCAAAGCTTACTAGAAACTGTTGGGCGATATTAGAAATAATCTTTTATCCTGACAATATATTTACAGTTCATTCTTGAATAACCTATCTTTTGTACTCTTAACGAAAAAAATAAACGAAAAACGTTGAAATTAAAGTAGACGATTGGATTTCCATTCAATTGTTCCATCATTTCTTCACACTGCAAAATATATAGCTGCTCAAACTTTAATAAAATCCTATTTATTTTGTCTGCTATAGTAAAATAACATGTCTTAATACGCTATTAAAGATCTCTATATGAAGCAACAAGTCAGGAGACCTGTCTTTGATAGCGAATTAGGTGAAGTCTTGAGATTGAAAAAGATTGAAACTTTTTTTTTAATTCTTACCTTATAGCTCGGTCTTTCTCTGTTGAAACATCTATTAAATAGGCAGAAATCACAATAAACTGAGAAGCGAAACCACCCGATATTAACGATGGTAATCCAGATACAATAAACCACCAAGTTGAAGCGTTCTTAAAATACACTATAATAGTACTGCTTATATTGCTCAAAATGATACCTAGAAGAAGTAAAATGTTTAAATATTATACTTTAATTTAACAAATAGTTATATCGTGATACAACCACGTTAAATATAGTTACTTTTTTATTATTATTTTTAATATTAACGTAAGTTAAAAATACGTTTATTTTTAGCATTAAAGATAAAATATACTATTAAAGTGCCACAAAAAAATAGCTCCAAAACACATTAGATATACTTAAATTAAATATTTAAGGACTCTGGGTAGTTCATAGATACAGAGTAGTGTCGTCTAAATTAGAGAATGATACTTAGCGGAAACACTCTAAGTAAGCAGATTTCTTACATACTGATGTTTGCTGAATGAATGTTTGCGTCTCATAATGCTTTGAATTAAACATCGGTCCGGTGAAGGTCACTGGCTATCAACGACTATAGATAGTTTTAAGGATATATGTTTGATAGATAATGTCAGTACATTAGATCACCTTCCACTTCCGAACAAAATCAATCCAACTTTCCTCAAAGAAAAAATATCAACAATCTCTAAAAGAGTTTACCGTAACGTGAATTAGAATTTTTCCAAGATGTCATAACGAAAAAGGGCTTGTAGTTAAGTAAACTAATAATAAGTAATCAAGTAAGCATAGAGATTTCTTAAATGAAAAGAAACTTTGATCAAACAGGCAGAATCGTTGATCAAAGGATGTGCTAAGAGTTGAAGACCTAGTCATCCAACACCCAATAGCTACCTCGGTAGACAAAGATAGTGTAGGAGAGACAGCAAAAAACAGCTTTTTATTATCCACGCAAAATACTCAAAACCATTTTCACAAAGTAATTTCCCATTGCTTGTTAAAACTACCAATCCAAGATTTCAACAGGAGTAATTTTTTACTTTCTGAAAAATATTTAGCAAAATCGTGATTTACAAATTTATGATACTCATCCCTGGCACAGTATTTTGCCGACCAGTCTTACTACAATACACTTTAGATAAAATCTAGGGAAGAATCCTTAAAAAAAACTCCTTAAAAGCCCATATCATCAGCAACTTCAAATTTTGGATTTAGCGCTGATTCTTCTGGACACAATACATAAACATTGCAATTAACAAATACGAAAGATGTTCAAATTTTGAGCAGTTCTAAAATTTAAACCTAATAGAGAAACTTTATTAAGGTGGACTCCCAAATTAGGAATTGTACCCACATTCCTCTTTGCTTGGACTGTTTATGTTAAAGTCGAACAAATTCTCAGCTCCTTTTACTCCTCAATGGAGAGTATCAAAATGCTTAATACTAGTAACAAGTCTAAACATATTTATTTAAAAACAATACCTCACACAGTTTTAATATCGATCCAACAAGATCTCCCTCTATGCTAATAACACAGCTGTGTTATCCACACGATGCACACTACACTTTACAAAAACCATGGTGATAGAAGGGTTTGCACACCTTAGTTGGGCATTGAAGTCACTAAGAGACCCAATTGGAATACTGATATTAAAACCACCCTAAAGAGGGTGAGAAAAAGGACAAAACTCCTAGATTTATAACATGATAAATTAGGGAACACAATACTTCGTACTCTCTTTTATACTCCGTGAAAAAACTCCAAAAACACATCCTACTGGAAACAGAAAAAAAAATTATGAGGGGAAAACGAACGGAAGTCGAGATTGTCCTTAAGTACTCATTCACTAACTAGCCAATATCCCAATAATTAAAAGACGGAGACAGTCTCTTGGTAAGAAAGAATCTAAATTTACAGCTAATAAGCTCGTTAAAACACCCTGCTACGGCCTAGGACAAGTTCTATTCCCAACGGCAAAATATAAGAGCGCCAACATGCAAACATGCTGCAAGTATTTGTATGTCTGGTAGTATAGTTTGAAATACTTCTTCGAGCAAAAAATTGGGTTGGCCTGGCTCGCTCAACTAACTTTTCAAAAATACCACATGCATTATTTTTCTTTTCAGTACTTTTAAAAAAAATTAAATCAAACCGTAAAGATATTTAAGTATAAAATGGTTTGCAATAAAACATAAAAATGCAATAAAAAGTAACAAACATCTAACATTTCGAAAAACTTAAGCTGAAGTTCTCTACACCCAGCTGGTATTCTTTTCTTTAAATGTTTTAAATCACGAATTTGTATTTTATAGACAACCTGCTAAGTCACCTTAGCATTTCCGGTAAATACCATTCTCTTCATGTTGCCGACAAGAATTTAAAGCGTACAATAATTTTTAAATAATTTTAAACTGTTTGTCCTTGTTTTAGTGTAGTGTTATGTACAATTTCTGTTCAATTTCATGTTTATTAATTTCTGGGCTTACTGGATAGCCCAAATTTGACGAAATGCCCCTGATTTGGGGTATAGAGAGCGAAAGTACTCGGGCAAGTTTTGATTATTAAAATTGTGCTCGATACTTGCCTTTAATTTTTCAAACTTTATAGACAATTGATTTTAGATTACTCTATAGTAAGAAATATAGAGACGCTAGCTCGAGTGATCGTGGTGGCCATTCTAGTACTCCTCTTTGACCAATACATCTGCCAGGAAATCATTTAGCCACTGCCTAACTAGAAAAAAGTAATCTTGTGAATCAGATCAGCTGCATCATTTAATTTTCTAAGGTATTTTTTATTAACGGGTCTATTATTTCTTCAAGCAGATTTAAGTAGAGCTCACCAGTTAGATTCTCCACAATGAATAAAGGTCCAATACTAGTATTCCTAAGAATACCAGCCCAAAGGTTCAGTTTCTCGTGATACTGTGAATGTCCTACCTTAAAAAGTCACGGATTTTCATCACTCCAGTAGCGACCATTTTGCGTGTTTGCATATCCATTAGAAAAAAACTTACACTCATCAGGGAAGCGAATTTTGTTGAAAAATATTATGGTTTGCAATTATTAAATCCGTCGCTGTTTCGCGAAATTCAATCCTTTTGTCGAACTCACCATCAAAAAGCTGTTGAAGAATTTTGCATTTTATACGGGTAAAATTTATGTAACTTTAGTGCTTCTCTTACAGTTTTCGGGAGACAATGCTACTTGGCATGCCACATTTCGAAGTGATGAGGAGAGTTCTTCAGTAAAGCTTAAAACTTCTATTTGTGCTGATTCATCCAAAACCCGGCGATTTTTTATAAGGGCCGATATATGGTGTAACTTTATTACAATTTTCACCAGATCTATCACGATTGTTTAAAAGGAAATACAAACTATTTAGAATGAAGTTGTTTGACATAAATGTCAAAGCTTTTCTGTCAGCTTAACATAGTAGCTACCAATAATAAATGGTATTAGGTGACGTGTTCTGAACTCGATACTTAATGTCTTGATTTTTCCAAAAGTACTAAAAAGAATTGTGTTTGTGGCACTTTTTAAAAGGTAGCTGAGCGACCTTTAAAATGAATTCTATTATTTATTTTCATAAACATTTATTGTATATATACCGATGCAGTTTTCTTGGGTGTAAGTTAAGTGGGAATGTATTGTTAATTTTTTTAAACGGTTTTATTATCTATTTGCCGTTTTAAGAAGTCTTTCATATCTTTTCAAAAGCTGAAAATATTTGACAAACAACCTACTGAAACTATATGCTAACTAATAAGAATAGTTTACCACAAAACCTAAATTTGGTTTTCTATTATACTTTTGGTTAAGAAATATACGACTTTTTTAAAAGCCACACTTTGTTCTTGTAGAATATTTAAAATGTATTTTTTTTACATTTTTACAGTTTGTAAAATGGGTTTTTGATATTGGCATCATGACTTAACAATATACTGAAGTAAATTTTGTTGGACCGATGGCTTTTTTATTATGATATTCGCATTGTTTTATATGTTTATTGTTTTATGAATTTCATTTTTCTTTTTATGGTGTTCCGTTTTTATTATTTTAATGATTTTATTTTAAATAAACGAGTTGAAAGATCTACAAACCATTTATGTTAGGAGGAATACAAATTCTCAATGGTTAAAATCCCGGAGATATAAAAAAATATTTCAACACAACATATGTTACATATTATATACATAAAACACGTATAGTGAATAATTTATTATTGAAATAAATTTTTTTTACCTACTTGCAGTTGTTTTGGTTTCGGCTAGCTCTTGTTATTTCTTGTAACAATAATTGTTTAGTATCTTTTGGTTTATTTCCATTTACGTGATATATATCTTTTAATATCCAGTTCGGCAAAAAATTAATAATAATAAAAATTTTGGCAATAGTCTATTTTATAATGTCTGTTCATAACATGCGTAATAATCTATTTTATAACCTAGTAGAACTGTATGACAATAAAAAATATTGTTTATGTTAAAATATTTTTAAAATATTTAAAAGTATTTAAAACTAGTTAAGAGAAATAAAAAAAGTATATAAGAAACTTAAATTAAATAAATAACGACTGATCTTTAGGTGTATACAAACTTAACTGTGGCGACTGCCCAAAAACTTACATCGGTCAAACTGGTAGAACTTTTAACAAACGTATAGCAAAACATAAAAATGCTTTCAATAATAGAAAAACAGTTTCTACATACGCACTTCACCTTCCAGATCATAATCGATCATTTAATTACAAATTTAAAATTATTAACATCCAAAATAAAGGCCTTAAGCTATCTTTATTAGAATCTATGGAAATAAACTACTTAAAAAATACAGACATAATTCTAAATGATCAACTTGAGACACATAGTTCTCCCCTTCTCAATACATTTAGTTTTGTATAAAAACTATAAAAAAGTCAAAGACTATAAAAAATATTAAAATCCCATTAAGGACTTGTATAAACGGTTTTGTTTATTCTTTATTATCGACTCACATTATAAAAAAACTCAAAAATCAAGTAGCTGACAAGTGTGAAAATGACAACAATTAAATAGAAATGTTGCATATAGTTTTGTGTTATCAATTTTAGACATGATTTGTTGTGTATGTATGAACAAAATTTTTATAAATTTTTCCTATTTATTGTGAACCTTGAATATAATTTTGCTAATAATACAAATGTTTGTTTTCTCTTTGTTGCATCATTTTTGAGATAATAAAAATATCAACTTATAAATAAAAATTTTGTATAAAAGTAACCAAACTATAAAACAATGTACTTATTAAGATAAGGCATACAAGTAGGCACATTTTGACAACTACAACATAAAAAAAGTAAAATTAAGAAATTATTTTATTTAATCAACTTACGTCATTTCTTTTTTCTTGTGTCATATCCGTTATATCATATCGACTTAAAAAAATACCAGTTTTTGTACTTAATTAGAATTATAATATTAGAATTATAATTGAATTATAATATACTACCATAAAATGCCTAACAATATTGAAAAAACTTGCTGTATAGTTAATTAGCATGCTTACTCATAATTTTTGATAAACTTAGTACAACAATTATAAATTTATTACTAATGCAGCTTACAAAACAAAAACCCTACAGTTATATTAGTACCAACCTTTTGTAAATTTTTCTATTCAAACCTTGAAACATTTGCAGTCCCTAACTAATGTATGTCAATGCTATTTTTAAATTTTATTTGTAGCCAAGGAGACAGAACTTAGACTAGGATTAATATAGTTTGATTAAGATACCTTTGTATTCACAAAAAAATTTAAAGGTGGCTAAATACATCTTAAATTTGGCTGCACTTTTTCTAAATTTAATGACTTTCCTTAATGAATGAGTTTCATTACCTAACAAATGACCCGCATGCATATTTTACAAAATAATTAAACGAGTTTAGACCTGTTTGAGATTATTTTTCTTTCGCTAGATTTGTATTTTAAACAAAACAGAGAATTATAAACAAATAGATTATTATGTGTAGGTCTTGCGTATTAATATTTAACCTTTCCATCGAAGGAAGAGCTCGATATTTTAAAAATAATTTAATCTTGTTAGATGTTTACTAAAGTATAATACAAGTATTTCTTTATATCTTTTATCTTCTATTTTAGTTTTTGTGCAATTTTTATCGCATATTTCATAAAAATTTATGGCAGCCACTTTTTGTACCTAGGTATTTTAATTTTAAGAATTTAATAAAAACCTTTTTATACTACGAAATAGTGTATCCCTTTTTAACTGTGTTTTATAATTTTAACTATTTAAATAGTTTTTTATGCGTATTTGTTGACATAACCTAACTTAACCTTATTAGTCCGAGAAAAGCATCATAGAAATTTAATACAAATAGACTGAGCATTGTAATACACCATCGTTCCTCCAGTGCCACAGAGAAAACTGACGCAAAGCACTGCTTGCCTCCTTTTTTCAAGTGGGCCGGGTTTATCGACCCCGTGACCTTCCGATTGGTTATTTAAGCCAAACGGTCATAAAAAACGGCCCAATAGAAAAAAATGCAGGGACTGCTTTGTGTCAGTTTTCTCTGTCGCACTAGGGGAACGACGCTGTATTACAACGCTTAGTTTATTTGTATTATATGAAAAGCATAGACATAAAATGAGAGATAGACTGACTACTGAAATACAGCTGCGTTACCCTAGTACGACAGAGAAAATTGACACAAAGTGTAAATTTGTAAGTTTCAATCCGTCAGTTTCTGTATATCTGTCAAATGGCCCGGGTTTATTGACCACGTAATCTTTTAATTGGTTATTTAGGTCACGTGGTCGATAAACCAGTGAAATTAAAAAGAGATGCAGGAACTGCCTTGCGTCAGGTTTTTTCTGTTGCACTGAGGAAAGGGGCTGGTATCGCAACGACCAGTCTTATTTTATCAGTCAACGATCTTGTATTATATATCTTTGGAGGAAAATAATAATCGTTTGTTTTTTTAATAGTTGTCCAAAATTAGCTGTGCCCATCATAAGTTAATGCTCTTATTAGATAATATATAATACTATTAAAAGAATTTTAAGATCCTTTGGCATCTAAACATGTCAAAAATATTTTGTACTTTTAATGGGTTAACAGCAATATTAACCGTAATACTAGATTGTTTGTCCAACAAGACTTAAATCTGTAACCATAGAACATTTTGGTATATATTTAATAACCGCAATTTGTATTTTCTGTTTTACTTCACTTCCCACTTCAATTTTCAAACAGTACTTGTCAGGTTAAATAATTAGATTCTCAAATATAATAAAAAGAAGAGAGTAAGTGTATAAAAAGTAGAGAGTTAAGGCACCATTTCCATCTAAAATATCTGAAAAATATTCCAGATACCATCCGACACCCATGCCATGGTGTGCTAAAGATTTTACTTCACAGAAGTACTTTATTAAAATTTAAATTAATAAGCATTAAAATGTGGCTTAAGCTATATAAATATTTACCTGAAATAGTTAATAGCAAAAATGGCTTCCTTCCAAATTTGTCCGACCATGTGCCCACATACATGCAAACAAATACAGGAAATATATTGTTAATTGTATTGTGCACCATATTGATATAATTAACAGTTGGTTGTACTTTTGGTTCTAATTCTTTAGTAATATCGTTTACAGTATTTCCTAATTGGGCGCAATCGGATTCTGGATAACCCAGCAGAGTGTAACATGTTCTGTACATGAAGAGATTGGTTGCAATAGAAGCTAAAAAATTGTATTGTTTTAATAGTTATAATACATAAATAATATATAAAAATAAATAAAACGGGAACAAATGATAGTTTATAGGCGCAAAAAAACATATTACCTAACAGTAACTGTTTTTTGAAACGGTCAGAGAAAACCTTTATAGTCACAGTAATATTCCATATAACCATAGAGGTCAATTAAATAAGATGGTCAAATAAAAATAAATATCAAAGGAGAATTGGATCAAATTTTAAAACATGTATATGCTAATAAACTAAACTCTACTATTATAGTTCCTTAATAGTTCAAAGAAAAAAACATTCTGATATAGACAAAATTTGCAATAAATTATATACCCTGCATATATAAAAAGACATGTTTCTATCGTAAATTAATTTATATTTATATTAAATCGTCTATATGCAGTTGGATTCTTTAATGTAATTTAACTAGGTTTTAAAAATTATTATATTTATTTAATTATCCTTTCAAATCTCTATGTTAATTCAAAAAATTGTATTTCTATATCAATGAAATTTAAAATATATGCAGTATCCAACTCAATGTTTATTTTACTTTTTTTGACCTATATATTTTTTTTTGTTAGCCCTTGTTAGTTAGAGCTTAACGAAGCCTCGTGGTGCACCACACATGAAACAAAAACTGCTGCGGCATAGCAGATATGATATTATGCAAAACTCAATAGCTGTTTAAAACTACAACGAGTTCGATCCCGGTATCTCCATCAACTTACAATCTACTCATTCAGCTACAATCTCAACCACGTAAAGCTAAAAGCATGATTTGATTTGTTTTTATTTAATATATAACATTTTACTTTATTTTTTTTTTTTTAATAAGTATGGTTAGTTAATATCTTATATCTTATATCTCAGACAAACTCATTTTCGATTTACATTTAGAATAAGACATTCTTGCACCTTGCACAAAACACTAAAATTAACAAATAAAGTGATAAATAAACTGAATGAAATTATAACACTATCAGAAGAACAACAAGGTTTTGGGTAGGGAAGATCATGCACAGACGCTATATTAATAGTGATGCAAGTGCAAGAGAAATCGTTAGAATACAACAAACCAGCATATCTATGCATCGTGGACCTTAAGAAGGCATTTGATCAGGTCAAATTAAAGGACGTTATTTACTTATTGTACGCAAAAGAGATATATTTATAAATAATCAAAACAATTGAAAATATCTACCAAAACAACACAATAAAATTAAAAGTAGAAGAAGAACTAACCGACCCTATTGAAACTGACAATGGGGTAAGACAGGAAGATTTCCTGAGTCCTCCATTGTGTATCCCCATTATGGATAAAATAATAAAAAATTAAGAACTAAAAAAGCATTCCAAATTGAAGAAAAACAACTTAAAATAATCTGCTATGAAGACGATGTAATACTATTCTCTTAAAGTAAAAACGATTTACAACGAATGCTGCACCAATTTAATACAACCGCTAAAAAATTGAATATCTCAATTTCCCTAAGAAAGACAAAATGCATGGTTACAACAGCAAATTTACTAGGATGTAAATTGGAACTGGAAGGTCAGATAGTCGAACAAGCCATGGAGTTTAAATATCTGGGCATCACATTATCTAGCTACGGAAAACTCGAAACTGAAGTAAAAGATCAAGTGAATAGAGCAAACAGAGCCGCAGGCTGCATGAATCAAATAAGATGGAGAAATAAAAATATCAAGAAAGAAATGAAAGGCGGAATTCATAAAACAGTAATCAGACCAATAATGACATACACAGCAGAAACACTATCTAACACAAAGAGCACAAAAAGCATGTCAGAAACAGCAGAAATTAAAACACTTATGGTAACACACCAGAAAAATGAATGGTAAGATACTATGGGACAGAGCTAGAAGTACAGATATACGACGTAGATGCAAGGTGGAGATCGTTAAGAACTGCGTAAGAAATAAAAGAGTAGAATGGAACAATCATATAAGCCTAATGACAACAAATAGAGTAGTAAGAACTACAAGAGACGGTTCCTCAATAGGAAGACGATCAGTAGAAAGACCACAAAAACGATGGAATGACAACTTACTGGAAGCACATTAAAAAACAGACAGTAATGTCTTCTTAAAATGAAGAAGAAAAAGAAGAAGATTCAGAATTATAGTTTTTGTAGCACTTGTGATCTGAAGGGAAATCTGTTTAGCATATAGCTAGCATTATTTTCCACATTTAGATTCAAATATAACTCAACTGAATGTAAAATCCTCCAAAATATTTAATTATTGTTGTATACATTTGTTAAATGTTTACATTCTCATCTTCTAAGGGCTAGAAAAAAGCCGTCACTTTTTTTAAAGGTACTTTTGGTCCAAAACATTTGTTTCACGAACTTTTTCGATGTAATTAATAAGTAAATAGTCGTTTTTATTAATTAATTGTGGAAAACAATATTTACAACAATAATGATACTTTCTTACAGGGATGCGTAGGTTGGTATATTGTATTTAAATTTTATCTCTGATTTCTAACAATCTAAATTTAAATACAATTATTTATTTTTTTTAAGTAAAGTAATCTATTTCTATTTAAACTAATCTGTCTTTTTAAATAATTTCTATTTTATCTATTTTAAGTAAAATTATCTAATAAAGACATAAATTAATACAAAATGTGTTTTAACTATCAGCGACAAATAAGAGAACAAGTTTTAATAATAAACGTTTTAGTAAAATAAGAATAAATATAAAAATATGCATTCAGTACAGTTGGTAAAAAAACCGCCGACATGTTGCAAACTATTAAGTGGAAAAGTCTTCATCTATGTGTACTATATGCATAGCCGCATGTTGGCGATTGTTTGTAGTTTTTAAACCATTGGTAGAGTGTCGTTTTTAGTTCTTCGGGATATTTTGACTACGTCTTTGATATTACTCCAATTTCATATATTTCTTAGACATGGATCTTGTTTTCTTGTTGTTTCTCGGAGCCCCTATATATTTTGTTGTAAAATTAGTTGGTAATATAATATTGGCTTCCCCTAATACCTCCACTACACATCGGCAGACGCGTGTACGGCCGCATCTGCAGATGTATCAGCACAAGCTGACCACACATCTGGACACATCTATCGTTCAGTCTGTGTTAATTTCCGAGAGACACAGTATCTGACGTCCGCACCGAAACCCTTTGATCTCTGCTAAAAAAACCGACAACAATCGGATATCATGCATCTACACATCTCCAGATGCAAGTGTAGAGGAGCCATAAGCTAAGGCAACGGTCGGCAACAGGCGGACCGCGGTCCGAATCCGGACCGTGAAAGGTTGATCTGCGGGCCAAACTTCGGAATATCGATTGCTGAGTCAATCAAGTTCAAAATAAAACTGCTGTGAACTTTCAAATAGGAAGTGAAATGATAAATAAACATAATAGCGAGTACGTATAAGTGATGAAATATTGTTTTATAATAATATTGTATATTTACAAGTGAAATATATAAATCTGGTGAATTCTGTTCACAATCTGGCAACTTTTAAAACACAATTTGGGGAAATAAAATTTATGGGTCTGGCAACGTTGCTGCCTACTAACTGGCAGTTGGTCACAGTTTTTGCTCGTTGTATACAATAACTTTTTGTACCTACGTTAATATGCATCCGAAAAATAGAAAAGTAGACAGTAAAAATAGGAAGTTTCTGGCAGAATGGACTGAACAATATTGTTTTACACTGCCTGATAGGCCGAAAACGGTTCCGGTGTGCCTTATATGCAGTAAAACTGTCGTCTTAGTTAAAAGTGGAAATTTGAAGCGACATTACGAATCAACTCATCAGCAGTTCCACAAAAACTTTCCTCTTGGCAGTCAGGCGCGTAAAGAAAAACTCCGGGTATATCTTAATTCTTACGAAAAAAGCATAAAAATCCTAGTGCGCTGCATGAGCGACCAAGAAAAATCCACTGATTCTGATATAGTGAAGGAATGTATACTGGCAGTAGCTAACTCACTTTTTGCAGAAAAAAAGATGTTGTTTCAGCAATTCAAAGAATCTCATTGTCAGCGCGAAGTAATATACGAAGAACGGAAATTTTAGCTGAGGATATTAAAAACTCTCTTCTTAATCTTTTGCAAAAGGCACCTTGCTACACCATAAAACTTGACGAATCATGTGACATTGTTGATGATGAACAAATTTCTGTTTTTGTAAGATTCCTTGGCAAAGAAAAAGGTGTAGTAAAGAGGATCAGGGATAAAAATTTAAATTTAATAACATATCAGTGCATAATACACCAGGCAGCCCGTTGTAAAAAACTTAGTGCTAGACTTAAAGAAATCATGGACAGTTTAGTGAAGGTAATTAATTTTATGAAATCTCATTCTGCTACTACAACACAATAATGCTCGTTGGATAAGTAAAGGTCAAGTTATTGAACGTTACTGGCTAATAAAAGAAGATGTGATCTTATTCTTACAAAATATAGATACGCAGGGAGCCACGGCACATTTATATAACAAACAGGCGAAACATGCTGGTTGTGGCTTTTCTGAAAGATATTTTAAAATATTTGAATGCGCTTAACACATAGTTATAAGTAAATGGAAAATTAGTATGTGATCTGATACAAAGCGTGTCTGCTTTTCATCGTAAGCTGGATATCGTTGAAAAAGTGTTTGTACAACAAGAATTCATTCATTTTTAACTATTCTTAAATATAATAAAAATAAGGAGAACTCCGAAGAATGCATTGCAGTGTTCGTAAAATTTCTGGGCGATCATACGAACGAATTTGCTTCAAGATTCCAAGACTTTACATAGATAAACAAACTATCTTCATTTCTAAAATCACCATTTGAAGTTGTTGCAGCGGCAGAATGGACATATGTAGCTGCTAAGCTGTTTAATCTCTCAAAATGGAGATTATTGAATTATAAGATGATTTGTACTTGCAGGTTTATAAATAGGTATCCGCCGAAGAATTTTGGGCCAAACATCTGCCAGCAAAATATGAAAATTTCAGACAACCCGCAACCAATCACTATGTTTGGCTCAATGTATACGTGCAAAACGTCTTTCTTAAAAATGAAGTTTTTGAAAAACAAATATCGCTCCCAATTAACGGACGCAAACCTCGAAGAAACACTTCGAATGTACCAAAGTATCAAACATCTTGTCATTAAATGTTATCATTTGTTTTTTTCTGGACCTTGTTCAATTTTTTTTTTCTAGTATCTGGACCCCACATAAAATTACTTGCCGACCTCCGAGCTAAGGATATGATCAGGTCGAAATTTCTTTCCTTAACTCTGTTAAGAAGTTCTCGTTTGTAACCGAAGGTTTTTAAAATTATTTTGTTTATGGCATGTGGGATCCATAGCACTCGTAAAGTCCACATTCTGGATGCTTTAATTCGGTTTAGTGATTTAATCAAGACACCACAACTCTCTGGCTTAAAGTAAAATGTATCATATTCAGTACTTCACAACACGTAGTCTAAGGGTAAGTGGGAGACTGAGAGCTAACACAAAATCTTTAAATTTGACAAACGTTGTTTTTGCGTAATTGAATCTTAGTTTAACTTCTTCACCGCAATTTCATTTTTCCTTGGCCGTGTTACCCAGATAAATAAATCGTGATAAATTACAAAACATACATTAGAATGTATTTAGGCCCTTGTGTCAGAACGACCTATTTAGTTTATTGTCCTGTCCATTAGAGGTAATATGTTACACGGTTGCTCTTTCATGACCACAGTCATAACTTAGAAACGAATTTTTACCTTGCTTGACTAGGATGTTAACTTACCTTGCGTATCCCGTATATATTATATTTAAAACTTGAAGATTTCTTATTCTGTATTTTAGATTACTTAATTTCAAACCGTTGGTATCTTGGTCCGTTAGTCGTCTTCTTTATGTACTATCTTGTTTAGCAAAGTTATCAATTTTTTTGATACTGCTGCTCTAAACAGGTCATCTTAGTAACATTTAACTATAACTTCTTTTTAAGTTCCCTTTCTTATATTAATATCTAAATCGAATTACAACGTTCATCACACATGACGTATTCAGAATTTTCTTGTCATTCTTTTAAATACCTCGATATTGATAATTGTTAGCAATGTTCCGTTAGCTCATAGTTCAAAGTCTTCCAATATGTTGGTAACGTTTTTTCTTAATCTTTTATTTTTATTACATAGAATACTACAGGGTACCTTTTTCGTTTTGTTTTCATTGTTTTTTTAAATCGTAATAAAAATAGATATCAGCCAATCTTTAAAAATAATTCCGGTACCGAATATTTTGTTACATACGTCAATCAGTAACCCAATCTGATCCTCTTCTCATAATTTTATTATCTCTAATGGTACTTGACCATTACCTGTCGTTCTTCCGTTGCCGTTGCAAAAAACGTCTTTTTGTAAATTTTAAATTTTGTAAATTTTATTTGTTGCAAAACTTTCTTAGTCTAATACTTAGATCGCTATCGTTGTTACATTTTTTAGTTCTACTTCCGGTCTTTAGTTACTATTTATGATTTTCTTTGTTTCAGTATTTATGTCGTTTTTTGTGAGGATAAAATTTTAATGTGCTGCTACTAACTGCTCTATCTCTTCTTGCATTTCTTTGTAAGATTTCTTCTTTCGCTTCTCTTATTTGTGTTTCTTATTTTGATATATATGGCGTTATATGTCTTTACTTTTAAGAATTTTTATGTCACAATTGTATCTGTATTTGAATGAATTTGTAGACTATGATTCCTTCTCTATTTTAGTGCTGTTATTACCACAGTAATATATTTTTTTGTTTTCTAATAATTCTTATTAAACAATGAACCCATTAATATTTTGGCTGTATTGGGCTATCTACTTTTATTTGTTCATAAGATGTTAATGTTTAACACAAGGTGAAGCCTCTGCATTTCTTTAATTACATTATGCACTTTTTCTGATTCATATATTGACTCAACATTACATCCTCCGAGTTTTACTTGGTTCTTTTTGTGTCAAGTAGTATGCGACACATTATGTCAAGAATGTATTATTATTATTAACATTTTTTTGTCATATCAATAGGACACAAAAGTGGGCGAATATGTTATATATTATAGGCTTGTATTATCTTTCCAAGTGGACATTTTTCCACGAAGGAAGTGTTTCTTCCATGAGACAAAGGAAACACGCCCAGACTGCAGAGTTATATCGGGTACACAGACGGGTCAAGAAATTCAGAAGCGCTGTGTGCAGAAATATTTGGTAGTGATGAAAATTTAAACATTTGTATTCTTTGTATTCAGGAGATATACCTTTGTATTCTGAGCAAAAATGTTTGTAAATCTGCATTGTATAACCAGTTGAGAGAGTGGTACGAATGTACATCAAAAAATGAACTTTGCAGACCAGCCGTCTCAAAAGTCCGAATAGCTATGATGACTGAAGAAGATTGTATTAGCGAAATTAACATAAGGGATCTTTCCACGTTAAACGGATTAATATATGTAGAGATAGCTAAGCAACTATGGTAGCCCCCATAAGCCTTAAGAAGGTCTCAAGGCTATTGTAAGAATACCGACAGACTGGAGGATATCGAGGTCTCTGGGGAATACACGGCAATAAAAGAGTTAATACACTTGCCAGAAGAGCATCAGCTAAAACATTTTTTGGTCAGATCAAGCCGTGGGTATGACAAAGAGCATCATTCGCTACCGGACAAACGTTTGAATCTGTAGGCAACATAAATCAATAAGAAAACCAACCCATTCAAACAACATCCAAAATGTGTACACATATGTGCTGATAGGGCTGAAGTGTTGCTGAAAGTAAGCAAAAATTGAGTCATAAAAGGCTTCCTTGCCAGACATATTCTAGTTAAAGAAGACCTGGATACAATTCGGCTGCTTTATATAGATTTAAGCTGCAGACTCTGTATTAAAGTGCTTGAAACTGTCAACAATATTTTATATGATTTCGAGACATTAAAACGTAGGCAAAACGGAAAACACTTTTGAAGGCTGCCAAGTGACTCCAAAAACATATGGTATCTATCCACTAGACCTGAATATACTATAATACATATTCAATTTATAACAGACACCTGTGTACCAACAATCAATTCAAATTCGTTTCTATCTTCTATTTTTTTAAGAGCGTCTTTATGTTTAACCCGGTCTAGTCGCGAATGTTTTTCAGTCAGAATATTTGTCGTCTACCAGGACCCCTTGTTTCTTAGATTTTACCCTTCATAATCAGCTGCAACAATTCAAACTTATCATTTCTAAGTGTGTATCCCAAATATGCTGTTTTTCACCTTTTAATGATGGTCAAAAGTTATCTGTCTCTTCCCATTCTGCGCAACACCATTTCATTCGTAATTGGTATCATGAAGGAGTAAAATATGTCCAAGTAACCAACTGTCTGCAGTAAGCCATGTCTTTTTAAGTAATAGTCCAATAGTAATTTCCAACCACTACTGCCATTCGGTAAAAATTTTAAAAATGTAGCCAAAATTCATTACTATATTTAATAGATAGTTGAGATTGGGATAAACGAACCGAGTATACTACTTTTGAAAGTAGAAATGTTGTTCACAATATATGTCATGTTTAAAAAACTTAAAATAGTGCTATAGAATATTTTACATAAGTATAATATGTAGAATAAGCAATGCAGAATGATAATAGGAAAAGTGACACAACTGAAATATTGTTTTTATTTTATATTTTAGTAGGACAATGGATATCTTAAATACCTAGGGCAATTTTGTACTCACAAGAAACTAAATAGTAATAGGTACATCACGAACATTTCTTGAGAGCAAATTGTAATAGATGTATCTGAATTGGTTACCAAAAAATCCAAATAAATTATATAAAAACAATGAGTCTATTATAAAAAATAGTCTTATGCCAGCATAATTTAACAATAATCGGAAATAGTTAATCGTAGAGACAACAAAACTAAAAAAATTTAAAGTCAGAACTAATATTTTTTAAGAGAAACTATATTGAAACATCGGTTAGAGTTAATAGTATCTAATGGAATGCCATTAAAAAAATTTTAGTATGACAGTAAATAAATTAATTTCTTGTTACCTTGTAATATCATGGAGAAACTTAAAAAAAGTAAAGGTACTTCCACAGAAAAATATTTATACCACGCCATTGCTGCTGTTGATTTTCAGATCTCTTTATACAAACTTCGTAACTATCAAAGTCTACTGAATTTCCATCTACTTATAGGTTCCAGAAGTAATCAAAAACTCTAATTTTAAAAATTATCAATGTAGATTTGATAATATTGTTTAAATATTTTGATTAGTCTTAAACTCATGCATATTTTATGAAAGAATGTAATTCTTAAGATTTTGATTATTATCCGATTGATAGCCATCTTCTATTATTATGATAATTGGATATGATATAAATTTTAAATAAAATTATATTCCAATAAGTAAATACAAGGATGGAAAGACTTTCTTGATTCTATATTAATAAAGAGGGCAATGACCTTGGACAAAAGTCCATATATCCTCTAAGCCTCTATGTTACAAATCTAAATATGATGAGAGAAGTAAAGTTCGTAGAGAAAATATTAGCCTCGAGTTTTACTTGGAATCAGCAGATACAACGAATAATATTATCAATAAAACGATGATTTTTTAATGACTACTAGACTCAATATTGTTTTGAATCTATTTTCTTGTGGCATTTTAAATTAATTACTATTTAACTGGGTATAAGCCAGAATTAAAGATAAAAATACGTTTATAAATGTATTTTTATCTTTAATTGTGGCTTATTCCCAGTTAAATAGTAATTTACTACTAGACTCATGGAAAAATTTGGGTTTAAAACCAGATATATTAAATTAAATTTATAAAATGGTGGTTAAACTACTGGTGCAAAAATGTGTTTGCTTGGACAAATAAGTGGTCTGAGAGTAGTTATGGAAACTCTACTGTATCTTTCTTCTCTGCACATCGCTATATACCGGGGAGGTTAAATCGCGTACTGCAATAGAACCTGAACAACCTAATAGTCAGATAAGGGCATATTAACATTACAGATGTTAATATGTCCTTATATTAAGGATCAGATGCGCACTATAGGCCTCAGATACAGGCTTATATTGCGCATCTGCCCACTGGAAACATAAAGCAGAATACAACCTAGGCTTCAGGGTTATATCTGTTACATAAGGCCTAACCTTTACTTAAGGCTAGTGTTGCAATACCGAGAAGAACTTCACAGACTAAGGAAACATTTAAGAGCTGATGCAATTGCCAGAAAAGAATCGTCTACAAAATACTTCGACACAGAGGTGAGAGCTGGATATCTCTGGAAGCCTGGATCCTAACACCGCATAAGCACATCTGGTCAAGCCTATTGCAAAATTTATATTGGACGTACATACAGTAAAAGGGCTAAAGTATTACGTAAGTAGTAATCTGCTCGAATTCATAATAGACAACCTTCCTGGACAAAAGTCAGTCATGAACACTTAAGTTACAAACTTTGCAACAGGAAACTTGAAACAGTCAATTATATATTACATGACTACGAGGCACTATATCACAGACACCATACACTGTAGATACCAGTAAATATGTAACACTAAAACATAAGGTACTTCACTAGACCTTTACAAGCTGGTACAGGGTTCCAGAAGTCTTAATGGAAGATACACAGTTAGTCAATTTGCAGTATACCACTTTAAAACAGATGGCTAATAAGAGCATATATTTGTCATTAATATCTATTCATGCCATTTTAATTGAGCATAAGGTCTATCGGTAGAAGAGTATGATTTTTGAAGAGGTGGATCTATATAGAATAAACTGATGAGAATAAAAATACGATTTTAGAGTTTTTAAATTAGAGAATGTCAGCATATTGAATAAAGTAGGCTGTTGTGTACTAGTAGAGCACAATGTCGGAAACCTCTTCTGCTCGTCTTTCTGGCGGGAAATTCTCCAGGGGAGTTGTGCCGAAGTAGAATAGTTCACAATGTTGCTATTTTTGGGTAAAAAAAAGATGAAGCACACTGTAAAACGATATTGGTGTGCTTTATATGCCGTTGGGCGTCTAGTTTTGACCAAATGGCAAATTTTGCAGCAAAAAGGAGTATTGATACAGGTAGTTAAGGGCAAAGAATATGTTTTCAAAATTTCAAATACCATTTTCAGAGGGTGCCATAAATAGGTATGGCTGAAAAACGTGCCAACAACTGGGGATAAAAAATATCAGTTGGAGATTTAAAACTTTGGAGGTAATTGGCAAAGAAGATGGACGAACGGAACAGAAAACACTGGACCAGAACCATAAAGTTTAAACTGCTCTTTATACGTAGTAGAAAATAAAGAACATGTATCTGATTATGAAGGAGCATATACTACTTATATACAAATGTTGGAAAAGAGAAAAATGACATTAATCAAGTTAAACGTAAGTGGGTAGAGACCTACAGGTATAGGTGCAAGTAATGGTTCATAGCGAAAAAATCTTGGAAATCACTGATCCAATGAAGACTTTTGACTGTGTTTAACTAAAAAATTACCATAATCCTCTTAAAAGACAAATTACACATAATCTTATCAACAGCGTAGAAAACATATTAAAGAGAATCAAATGTAAGTTTATTTATCAGACAACTTACCAATCCAATACCAGCTGGGAACGGCATTCGTCAGAGTGGCTTACTGAAAGCCCGTTGCTCTTTAACATTATTATGGATAAGATAATAAAGAAAGTTAACGAAATAAGAGGATATATGATAAGAGATAAGGAAATAAAAGTTCTTTGTTATGCAGATAACGCAGCGATAGTTGCCGCAAACGTGGAAGACCTGCAAAGTTTAAAAAAAAATTAACTTTACAGCCAAATCGATTAATATAATGATATCAATCGCTATAATAAAATGTCTGACAATATCAGTCGCTAGAATAAATTGGCTGACAATATCAAAGACACTTGTAAGATATAAACTAGTTGAATAGATCGACTATCCAGCAAGAGATAAAGTTTAAGTACTTAGGCGTAAAACTATCAGGTTATGGCGTCACTGAAGCGGAAATAATACAACAAACAACGAGACGAACAAAAATAGCTAACTGTCTAAACAATACTATATGGCATAATAAAAACATTGGCATTAAGGCTAATTAGAGAATATACAAAGCTGCTGTAAGACCTGTAATGACATAAACCGCACAGACCAGACCAAAAATAAAAAAAAACCAAAAGATTGCTTGAAACAACAGAAGTTAACGTTCTTCATGGCATAGCTAAAAATACTCTTTTGGACAGGGATACAAGTAAAAACATAAGGAATACATGTGGGGTAGACGATATTAATGGTTGATGAAATAATTTGATCTGTTGTAAAATTTGTGTCTGTTAAATTTGCTAAATTTAATTTATGTGATTTAATACTTTTTTCTACTCTCTTACTAGTAAATTGTATATTACCTAGGTACTATTTGGATGCTAAGTAAATGCATCATAACAGATACTGACACGTAATGACTAGCACGTAATAAAAAAAATTACGCTTCAGTTTTATAAAAATGTGTAATATCACATAAGCCACGTAAGTCAGTTGGTCGAGTTACCATGGAAACGAATTAACAGACGTTATTTTGACAGATTAAAAATTATTAATCTGTCAGTGTAAATGTAGTGGTATTTTAATTTTTATTTTTATAAACGAAAATAATGGTAGAAAAAGTATATAATAGTACACAACTTGAGTTGTAAGCTTATTACATGCTTGTAAAATTACTGCGCTCGCCGCTACGCGGCTTGCGCGCAACTTTTTTACTCGCATATAATAAGCTTCTTACAACTCTCGTTATGTAATATACTATAAAGTCATTGTTAGATTATTTGATTTACTTAATTTATTTTACACACTTAATCTATTTTCAACAGCTATAAATTGCTTCGCAATGCTGCTAAAAACAGAATTATTTAATCCTGAATATTTAACATCTCACCTGACAAGACGATGTACGGTGGACGCCTACGCAGAAATGCACAGCACCTTAAGAAGAAGAAGAATTTATTTTAATGATAACGATGCCAATGTGTTGCTGTGAGTAACGAAAAATGTTAAATAATATAAAGGGACAAAAATTTAACTAAAATTTTTTCTGAGAAAGTATTAAAATTTAGCGAAAACATTACTTGATACTCTATATATTTGTCGATAAACAAGTTTCTTTATTTATTCGTATATTCAACATATTCTGCATACCACAGACATACAGTCACAGTCCTATTAAAAGTCGTACATAGCTGAATCTATAAAAATTGCGAAATAATCATCAGAGACCATCAGTTTGGATTCAAAACAAAACAAATTCTAAAAATAGACAGTGAACGAAAACACAGTAAAAGTTAGAAAATCATCATAACAAAGCCATATACTGAAAAATAATAAGGACCAATATGCCAACTAAAAGTGTCACGAAAAATTAAGGGGAAAGAGAGGGTTAGGAAGAAAAAGCCCATCGTGGCTAAGTGACATTAGACATTGGAGAGGGCTAAATTTTAAACAGCTAATAAGAACAGCTGAAAACAGAAAAGAATTTGCAATTATAGTAGCCAACTTCCATTAAGAAGAGGACACTTTAAGAAGAAGAAGTGAAATAGGATAAGGCAGCTCTTTTTAAAATAAACAGATAAATTATAGTATTACTGGTAAACATCAAAATATTTTAAAATGTAATTCATAAATGTTTAATACGTTTGTAATGTTCATAAATGGTGAAAATAATCAAACTATTTAAATGGCTTCGCACTTAAGTAGAATTAATAAGATAAAATTTCATTAAATTTTTTTGTAGGTATTTCAAATATTTATTGGATTTTAAAGTCAAGAGATTCAATTCTGGTTTAGTAGCAGCCCATTAGCTTAATAAATATAATAGATAAATCGATTTCTTACTCTTATATATATATATATATATATATATATATATATATATATATATATATATATATATATATAAGAGTAAGAAAAAAGAAGTACTTGTGACTAGTTTGGAAAAAATATAAAACTATTTTGTATGGGATGGAGTCAAAAAAAGGGGCTATTTGTTTACTACAAACTAGTATTTATATATTTCTATTTCAACTTTGTTCAATCAGTTCAACTTAAGT